AATAACTGCATAACTACATGAATAGAAATAACTACATAATTAGGCCTTAACCCTGCTTGCTCTTCCCCATCACAACTGGGCAAAGCAAAAGTTAAAATATTATTCCAGAAGACCTTGATGTAATGGATTTAATCCCCTCTAAAAATAGTTTAGTTATTCTTTAGTGAGGTTCTCATATATCAAGTGGATGAGATGTATGAATAGCTGACTTTGTTTCTTCTAATTTTTTGAAATGTAGATACTATCCCCTTAATTGACCATGCTTACTTATGTGGTCAGAGCATGGGTCACCTTGAGGATGGTCACAGTTTCTCAGTCTGTGTCCTTGTCGATGAAACAAGCCTTTCAGGCTGGGGATGTGCGGGGGTACTTCCCAGAGCACCTTCCCACTCTGAGGACTCAGATTCTCACTGCAAGATAGATCGCTGTAGGGAAGTGAGTCACATTTACCTCTTTTCTGGCAAAAGTATGCAAAGTCCAAGGCAGCTTTTATTTTGCTTACATTAATATTGGTCCTTGGGGGAATGCTGCTGGCTTTCGGTTTCACTATGGAGACCACACATTGGACTTTTGCCAAAAGAGACTTTTCAAGGCTCTCTGAATGGATTTCAGTTTGGAATAAGTCTCAGAATGAAGCTTTACTGGACAAGGTTTTGAAATTCCAGGACATGGTAAGTAATGTGGCTATCTTTCAAACCTAAGGAAGTTCCATAATAATTAAGATGTACTTAGTATCCTCAATGTATTTACTACATTTTTGTATATTCCAGTCGATGATTGTTCCAACATGTAAAAATTGACATTTGTTATTTTGTTTATCTTAAATAAAATAAAGCCATAATAAGTACATAAAATAGTGGGTTATGAAAACATCTAAAGCTACTTCTGAATTCACACTAATGGAATATTTATTGAAAAAAAATCTTTTTATTCTCATGTTGGTGTTTCAGCTTATGTCCACACGTCATGTCTGTTAATTTGAGAAGAAAGAAATGTGTATGTTTAAATAGTTCATTAACATAACCATTTTACCGATTTACATTTTTTAAAAAATAGAAGATATAGAAAGGTTTGGAGACAATCCAATTAACATTTTGCATTTAAATCTAGATTTTTTTCTTATGCATATCTACTTCAATGTATTTTCTCTGACCAAAAAAAAAATTTGTTTTTAATTTGTCTTAGCCCATGTTTCCTCAAAAGCATAGCTTGAGACAAAAGCTATGAGGCTAATGTTTTATTGAGGAGTACAATCCAGGTAACCAAAAATAACAGAGGGATCTGGGAAGAGAGCAAATAAGAGCAATGCATTCTAAGCTAGCCACATCTTTTGCATCGAACACAGCCTGTTGCTAGGTTTCATAGACATCTGCAAAGAGGCTGTATTAAACTACCATGTCTCAGAACAGCCCACTGTTAAACATCTATAAAATGCATGTAATGATGCAATCCAAAGTACATAACAAAATTCCCTAATTTATGGGTACTGATGGTATATGACCCACAGTACAGTGATGTTATATGGTAAAACCTCAGTAAATGAGAGCTGTGACATAAATGGTAGCTATTATACTATTATACATATATATCCCACACCCCTACACACACACACACACACACACACACACACACAGGCTTCTGGGTTCATTTACTAAACATTCTCCATGCGTTTGATTTTATTTTGTCCTTGTTCATGAACTTCACATTTTTCTTCAAGCCCAATCAATGCAGTATCCGTGAAGCATCTCTCATTTATCTTTTACTCACCTTTTATTTACAGAATATTTACTCAGTAAGAGCTGTTTTAGATGCCATTATAAGGTCTATCTGATTTTCATAAGGCTTGTGAGGTTGATATTTTTAATCTCATGTTAAATATGATAGAACCAACCTCTGACGGGGTTAACTGATGCTCCAATTACAAAACTAGTTAGTATCAGCATTATCATCGACACCTTGTCTTCTGGTCTAAATCTTGTTCTCTTTCTACTATATTCTCTTTACTACTTTTTAGTAAACCAGCTTATTATCAATCTAATTAGAACATACTCCTGCCTTCCAGCATGTAGCCACCTCAGTCAGAGGTAGCGACAGGCTGGCTGTCAATGTAATAAGCACAGGTTGCTGTGGCTGACCACCTTGGGTTTTAATCCTGGGTTTGTTACTGAAGGGCTGTGTGACTTTGAGCAAGTTACTTAGCTTGTCTGTGTTTCTATTTCTTCATATGTAAAATTGAGATAATGCTGTGGGAATTAAATAACTAAATACACATAAAATGCATAGAACAATCCTTGTATGTAGCTGCTGAATAGATGCCTGACAGAACACAGAGAAGACAACTCCACTCCAGGGGCTCAGGTGCAAGGATCTTCATCAGCACAGGGCAAGCCTGGCCCTTTCTTCTCCTGGAAACTTCCTCTTAGCCAATCAGCTGGCAATCAGCTCTTCCCAGGGGAAAACATGCTTTCCTAGAAAGTGAGTTCAGGGGCAGATTGTCAGGCAGATCCAAATTGAACTGCTTTTCTCTGTAAGTCAAGCTCCTCTTCAGAAATCCTTTCTCCTCAGATTTGTTCATT